TAAGATCTAAAATAGTTGAGCTTGAAGTGGCAGAAGTAGAATGGTGGTTAACAGGGGGTGGAGTGGGGAGAGATGTAAGTAGATATTGGTCAAAGGATATAAAACTTCATATACATGGGAGGAATAATTTCAAGATATGTGCTGTACAACATGGTGACTATAATTAATGACAATGTACTGTATTATTGAGAATTACTAAGAGAATATTTTTTGTTCTCCTCCCCAAAAAAGTTTGCGAGTTAATGTTAATGCATATGGTGTATTATTGCCAAAAGTATACATATTTCAAAGCAAAGTGTTGTACATAATAAATATATATAATTTGTCAATTTAAATGAATGAATTAATGAAAGAATGAGAAAATATTGTAATTTGACCATATATATGAGGGCTTATTTCTGAGCTTTCTATTCTATTCCATTGATCTATATATGTCTCTCTATGTCAGTTCCACACTTTGCTTTTGCTTATGCTTTGGTACACAAAAAATGTGTATAATTTCTAGGAATTTATCCATTTCACCTATATTATACAATTTATAGGTGTATCCTACAATCATCAAAAACTGTTATGATTATTGTAGTATTGTAATAAATTTTGAAATTGGGAAGCGTAAACCCACTTGGCTCTTTTCTTTCAAGATCATTTTGGCTATTTGGAACCCCTTTTGATTCCACACAAATTTAAGGATGAATTTTTCTATTTCTGCAAAAAGTACTATTGGGATATTGATAGGGAGTACATTGAATCTATAGATTCTTTGGGTAGTATTGACATCTTAGCAATATTAAGTTTCTCAATCCATGAACCTGGTATATCTTCCCACACATTTGCAACTTCTTTAATTAATTAATTAATTATTTTTTTGCAGTTTTTGACCAGGGCTGGGTTTGAACCCACCACTTCCAGTATATGGGGCTGGCACCCTATTCCTTGAACCACAGGCACTGCCCATCTTCTTTAATTTATTTCAGCAGTATTTTGTAGTTTCTGTTGTGCAAGTCTTCAAGTCTTTTCTGTCCTTGATTAAGTTTGTTTCTAAACATTTTATTATTTTAGATGGTATTGCAAGAGGAAATTAAAAAATATTAATGTATAGAAATGCAACTGACTTATGTGTTGATATTATATCTGCAACTTTACCAACTTTGTTAATTCTAATAGATTTATTATTTTTTTTTTGGAATGGAATCATTAGGGTTTTCTACATATAAGGTCATGTCTATTAACAGATATAATTTGTTTTTTCTTTCCAATTCAGTTGTCTTTTATTTCTCTTTCTTGCCTAATTGCTTTGGCTGGGACTTCTAGTCCTATGATAAATACAATGGGCAAAAGTGGGCACATTTGTCTTGTTTCTCATCTTAGAGGAAACGTTTTCAGTCTTTCACTGTTGATTATGATATTAGCTCTGGGGTTTTCATATATGACTTTTAATATGTTGAAGTAGTTCCTTCTATGCCTGGTTTATTGAGGCTTTTATTTTTATTAGTAAAGGGTTTTGCATTTTGTCAAGTGCTTTTTCTACACTGAGATGACCATGAATTTTTTCTTTATTCTGTTAATGCAGTGTATTACATTGATTGATTTTTATACGTTGAACCATCCTTGCATTCTAGGATAAAATCTTACTTGGTTAAAGCATTTAATCCTTTTAAAAAGCGGTTGAATTCTGTTTGCTAGTGTTTTTTTGGGATTTTTTATGATGAATGTTCATTAGGAATATTGGTCTGTAGTTTTCTTACAATGGCTTTCTCTGGCATTGGTATTAGGGTGGTGCCAGCCTCATAGAATGAGTTTGGAAGTGTTTTACCCTCTTAATTTTCTGAAAGAGTTGGAGGAGGATCGGTGTTATTTTTTTCTTTAAATGTTAGATTTAATTCACCAATGAAGCCATCTGCATCTGAGTTTTTCTCTGTTAGAAGGCTTTTTGATTACTGATTCCATATCCCTGTTAGTTACAGGTCTGTTAAGATTTTCCATTTCTTCATGATTAAGTTTGTAGGTTGTGTGTTTATCCATTTCATCTAGATTATATGATTTTTTGCTGTATCATATACATATTAGTATTCTTTTAATAGCTGTATAATATTCCAAAGCCTGATCATACCATAATTTATTCAATCATGCCCTTGATACTACATAAAGCCTTGATCATGTTTAGCTCATGCTTTTGTACACAAAAAATGGGTATAATTTCTAGGAATTTATCCATTTCACCTATATGATACACTTTATAGGTGTATCCTACAATCATCAAATTTTAAGCTGAAAGGGACTTTAAATGGATCCAGCTTTAGGTGATTAGGGATGGTCACATGATATATGGGACCAAGCTTTTAACTAAGAACTAAATTAATCAAACTAAATGGGCTTCTCAAACAGGTTCTTACCACTAAATGACTGTCTGACCTCAGAAAAATCACTTAATCCATCTGGATATTGGTTTATTGATCTGTAACATGAGAGGATTTCTCAGACACATTCCAGGGCTAACACTGCTCTCCCAGATCATTCATTCCTTAAGAGCGTAATCTGACCACACCTAATTCACTTTGGGATCCTGTGTAGTGCCTTATACATTATTTTGTGTGTAGAGATTCAGTAAATGCTTACTGAATACATGAGGGGATGAATAGTTCTCAACCTGTAGTGATGATGAAAAGCCGAGTTTGCATTTTTGCCCATGTCACTTGTGATTTTATCTTTTCTCCCAGCAGTAGCTGTTTAGGTAGTGACAAGTGAATGGGATTGGTGGGTAGTTAGAATCAAGGGGCTAGAACATTTTTCATTTCTGTTGTTCATGGGTATTTTCTGGATTGAATGAGGTTTCTAAATACTATGTCAGGGAAATCAATATTTTGCTCCTTTGTGTACATCTTATCCTTTATGCATGCCTTCTAATTGCTAGATTTTCATTAGCCCTTGAATCAAGCACTGTAGCTTGTACCTAAGTTAAAAAAGAAAATACCTTCTGTACCTCCTAGTTCTAAGTCTGAGAAACCATGAATTAATACTGATCCTTGTCCATAAAACTACCTACACCTATGAAATATTCCCTAGAATTTGTGTTTAAATGCTTATAAATTTATTGTGTATGTGTATTATTATACATAAATACACATTTATGTTTCTGCAAGTGAACATGTTAAACCAAAGTAGATGTGTTATTTATAAAAATAAAGCAAAACCTTTGTTATGCTCACTTCCTGTATAGAAACTGGGGGGGGAAAAAGAGTTTAGAGTAAAAAACTCCATCTTATTGAGAACACACATTTTCAGAGAGGCTTCCCTAGCTTCTGTTTCTCTTGCTATGTCCTACAAGACTATGTGATGTGTCAGCAAACATTTCCATTGTTTGAGGATTGTCCAGAACGTCATTCCTCTAACAGACAGGAAAAATAAGTAATATTATGGCTCTAGATTAAGAGATCTTGGCTTCTATAATTTTCTGTTTTGAAAGCACTGTTTGAGGTCAGGATAGGCCCCAAGGAACTGCCTTTTCTGTATATTTTTATATGAATTAACCTCTCCTAGACTTTTCCAAATTTCTATTATATATCAGAAGAGCAATGTGGGATGTCTAAAACAGATTAAAATCTTCTGTATGACTTTCTGTGAAATATACATTATGAATACACTCAATGAAAAGAAAGGATGTTTTCTGCACCAATAGATATAATTTATTAGACTTTGGTATATGATTCCCCATTTATAGAAAGTGCAATTTGTAGAATGTAGAACAGAGGAGGTGAATATATGTGAGAAGGCTAATGATTCTTCTATGGCCTTGGCAGCACTGAGCCTGAGTGTAGGTTGAATGCCTGCTGAGGGTCAATCCCCTGGTAAAATTGTTTTTTCATTTCTTTGGTAAATTTATATTTTGGCATCCTCAGAGAGAAGATCAAGGTCTTTCCAGTGTTGAATCAGATAGGCCTGAGAACTAAAAATATTTGGTAACCCCCATAACAAAAGTCAGATAAAAGTTCAAGATTTTGTTAGTGGCCCAACAGAGCTTGAAGAGATAATTAGTTCATGGATTGAGACGACAGTTGAAACTTCAAGTTGAAAATCAGCAACCTGGCTTTTAACAGGTGGGCTCACAGCAGGTGGGCTCACAGCAGCAGGCGGGGCGGCAGCAGGACTGTCCACAGTAGGATGGGCGGCAGCACGCGGCCTGGGCATGGTGCAGCTGGCAGCAGGTAGGGGGTGTGCAGCTCACCACGCAGCAAGGGGGCACGCAGGTGCCCTCCACCCGGCAGTCTGGGCGGCACCCCCGGGTGCGGCTGCTCACAGCTCCACAGCCAGTACCACAGCTGGTTCCACAGCGGCTGGTCTGGCAGCAGGTTGGCTGGCAGCAGCTGGTCTGGAGGCAGGTTGGCTGGCAGCAGCTGGGCTGGCAGCAGCTAGAGCCACAGGTCCCACTGGTAGAGCAGCTGGGGAATCCACAGAAGCTGGTGGAGCAGCAGGCCATGATGTCAGCAATTGCTCTGAGGGTTGGGTTGCTTGGAGAAGATTTTTACTTTTGGTGGTGATTTCCACATTGGGCCTTTTATAAGCCTTGACCAGCTCCTATTTACCTAATTCTTAAAGTTTCTTCCTTATTATGTTTAAGTAATTTGGCCCCTGACTGATAATTGGCCTGCCCCTGAGTTATTTGTTTAGCCTTCAAGTATAATCAAAGTTGATTATGTTTGATCTTTGACTAGGCTTCTTTACCATGACATTTAGCTTTACCATGACCTTTACCATTATCTTTCATTAGGAACCTAGTCCCTAACCCCCCCCCCAATATTTGTTAAAATTTCTTTATTACCAAAAAAAAACTGACTGATACTTCACCTTTGAGGAGTGTCAATATCACTTGCTGTTGATCTTTGCAACTGGACTCTCAGGTCTTACCATACTGTTGAATTCCATGTGTCCTCCAGTTTTGACTGACTGTAAGCCCTTCTCATCTTCACTTAAACTGTGAAGACTAGATTTGGTTAGCCAGAAAGGGATGCTTTGGGGGGGGAGGGGCCTGGAAAACTTTGGATGAACATATTTGGAGCACGCATTACATGCCTAAATGGTTCTGGGTCAGTCACATGTGTCAGTTCACTGAATTTTCACAGCAGTCCTAAGGGGTAAGTGTCACTGTCACTGCCATCACCCACATGAAGAAACTAAGTGACAGAGAGATTTTGGTAACTTGCCCAAGGTCTCACTAATAAATGGTCAATCTGAAATTTGGACCCAAACCATATAACCCCATACTAAGCCTCTTTCTCTGTTTTGTAATGTATTTACATAGCTGTTTAAGGAAAATCAGAGGGTGAAAGCAAGAGGTAAAAACTTGACCCGTTTTTTACAGATTCTTTTAAGAGTAAAGGGAAGGAGGGCAGAGCTTAGGCAGAGCTATTGAGATTTATATATTTTGTTTTCTAATAGCATAATAAACACATTTTGAGAAAATCTCAAGTGCTAAAGAAGTTAATCTATCTGATTTGTAACTTCAATCTAATCTTTTAGGATATTCTATAGATTTCAATGCTCTTAACAATATAAAAA